AGGTATGATTGACTACGCCCTTGGGAGACATGATATTTAAAGTAAAACATGATATTACTTGATAACTGTTTAAAATTTGGTATATAAAGACAACATTCTTTTTTTGTGGGGCTACATTTCATTCGATCCATTCTACAGCTTTCTTCAGAGGAATAATAAAGAAAGCCTGATCACTTTCTATATGTAATTTTTTATAGACCAATATGGCGAACGGAAGATGTTAGCTAATAGTTTGCAATGAACAGAGCTGAATATCATATTAGTTTGTCATTTATATTTGTTAATTCATTCTGTAAAAAGACGATCCTTCTCCTTGCAGTATGTGTGTTTGTAGAACGTGTAATAGCATCCGAAGAAAAAGTGAAGAAGATGAGACAAATTATTATTTTTATCAAAGACGCGTTTCGCCGGGATAAGCTTGTGTTCTCTTCGGCGTCATCAGTTTAAATAAAAGAAAAACAAAACTATGTGTTAAAAGAATCTCGTGGGATCTCTTAGGATAAATTGGTGTCGTAAATCACATAAGCAAACACAGAGGCATTCAGACTCTCAAGTCTCCAGCCAGGAAATGAGAAGCTAGAGTACTTAATGTGATTTATGGAACCAATTTATTCTAAGAGAATCTCCTAACTTATAGTTTTGTCTTTCTTTTATTCAAAACTAGCTTAAAAGCTGCCATATCGGGCGGCATTTAAGCTAGTTTTCATTGGGCCTTCGGCTTCTTCAAGAGTTTGAGATTCTCTAAGTCTTTGCATATTCTTAGCAATGGAAGCTCTCCAAGTTGCCGTTTGATCTGGGCTTTCATTTGCACGGGGCTTTCTTTTCCTCGCTGCAGTCCTGGCTCATTTGAACGCAATCTCGTACTCGTCGGAGATTTCTTTTTTTTTTGTGAGCATACTGCTGCCGTATGCGATAGGCAACAATAAACTACAGAAGAACTCAAAAATGATCGCTGCATTCATATTTAAGCGTACCTTTTTAAAAGTAAAACTATAATTCTTCTGCTGTGACTTAATTTAAAGAAAATTTGGTGTACTTAGGTCCTTACTTTCCGTACAAACAATTATTTTAGTTTCATGGATGATTTTCGTTGCATTTCGCAATTAATTTCGATTATTTCCAAATTTATTTCCATGTTATAAAAATTGTTATGGTTTAAAAAAATTCGCCACCCCACTCTCAAAAGAAAATAAAAAATAAAAAAAATAAAAAAATAAAAATCGTCGAAAACAACCGCAGTCATGAAAACTTGGCAATCCCAAATTTCAGGATTGAGGGTCCGGGCCTGGATCCGGGCCGGAATATTTTTAATTTACTCACGGATTCGGCCTGATTCCAAAATGGTGTGATATGGTGGGCTACGACCTCTAGGAGTAAAGTTGAAAATGTGTGACACACTTACATTCGTATTTATTTATATAGATGATGATGTCAAATACAACATAAGCTTTCTCCGGCGAAACGTGTCTTTGATAAAACTTTTCCTCTTTGTCTCATTATCATTATAGTATGTACATAAGAAGACTGTAGAATGAATTGTTCGATATGTTGTAGCAACATCAGCCACACAATGAAATTCAGTTTTTCGGGCAAATGATACGGCATTGGTGGCAGACACAGAAATATAACTAAAGGGTCTACTAGACAAAAATAATGGAAAGCGATAAAAAAGGACTAATTGTCAACTGTAAGAAGACATAATATATGGTTGTCAGCAAGAGACATAGCACAAGATGCGAACTACGAATCGGAGATGTCATCCTCAAACACGTACTTAAGTTTAAATATAAAGGGAATTTTTTAACAGAGGTTGGAGAATGTGACACCGAAATCCGAAGGCGCTGCGGCATAGTAAAAGATTTCTTTAAAAAAAATAAACAAAATATTAAGTTTTTTTATCAATTCACCCCAAGCAAGGCGCTAAAGTGAGTAGTATGCAGGGGATTTCAGGGAGTGAAAGTGAAAGAGAAAGCGAAGACTGAGAATAGGGAGGATTGAGGAAAGAACAAAAATGAAACATGTTTCAAGAAGACAGAAGATGACGGTTGACGTTGAATTTAAATTTATGAAGATTGTAGTTATCATGGAAGCAAGTAAACGGAAAGGAGTGCAAGAAATGAAACTGTTGGAGTAGAAGTAGAGGTTGCATTTAGCTAGTTCAGCAACAAAGCGGTGAGACTTAATTGCCAATCTAGTAGCACGCTTAAATTTATGTAGTCGTAGCACCAGGGGAAAAAAAACTCGTCAGAGCAGTTGCCATGAAAATATTTGTGGAAAAGAGATAGGGAAGTCGATGAGAAAATGACTGAAGTCCAGATATCTGGTCAGGATCGATTACGTTACAGATCCTTCCTTGGCTGTTATCAAGAATCTCGAGATGTACGGCAGGAACACCCGACCAGATATGGCAAGAGTATTCAATGCACCGACGAATGCTAGATTTATAAATGTACAAGATGGATTCAGACGAGAAAAAAATGTAATGGGAAACATTTATTAGAAACAAAGAAAATAGTGTCCAGCTACTACGTAATATCAGTCTTATATGACAGTGAATACTGGGCAGTTTCCAACGGATGAGGAGAAGACGAGTCAACAGAGATGTGGGTTTACAATGCTCTGGATACCATAGACAGTACGTGTAAGTAACCAGGAAGTTTTTTTTAAGGAAATTGGGAACAAAAATGTCATTTAGACGTAGGATCGGAAAGAGAGTTTAATTTTCTATGACACATAATGAGAAGAGAGGACTCAGAGAATTTGACACTCACAGGACATATTGAAGGAAAGAAGGAAACCGTGAATAAGCTACCTATGAGCTCGTGTAAATGGATGACAGAACTGAGAATATGAAAAATAGTAAAAAGACAAACATTACTAAGGGCTACAAAGAATAGGAAGCCGTGGAAAGCTATGATCGCCCATGTCTTGAAAGGATATAGCATAGGGAATAAGAAGATTTGATCGTTAACGATTCTTCAGATTACAAGACAGGAGTTAACAGTCGTGACCATAATAATTGAATCTGGGAAATTTGAAGACACTTGCTGTCATTTGCTTCCCGTCGAAGTTGATGAATCTCTGTCGTGAATATGTAACTAATGACATTTCTTACTGTAAATTTATAATTACCGTATAACTCCGCGTATAAGACGACCTTTAGATAAGACGAAGTCAAAAAAAATATAGCAAGTTTTCATGAATTTGTCCTATACACGAAATATAAGACAACTGCTTATTGATTATATAAAAATGATGTTATTGGAAATGCTGTTACTGTATCCTTAGAAATTCAAAATAAATGACATAACAAAACCGATTCTATATCATGTTTTTCCTGCACACGCCCCCTAATTGTTTTGTTTACGTTTCATCACGTGATCTCTTGCGATTACTGATTCTTCTTCCTATTACTTTTCCTATATCTAAACAGTTACAAACAGCCTGGTGTACAAATGGCCATTTACTTATACTTCATCGACAATCACAAAATACCGCTATTAACAGTACGATAAGGTACAATAGTATATTCCACTTTCAACATTTTGTTTATTCGCAATCATAACTCGATGTTTTCATTTTATCAGCTGAGCTTGCATGAATACAAGTTGATTTCGTTGATATGGAATTATTCTTTGAATAGGCAATTTATTATGAGGTTATGCCAGTAAAATATAAGGTAGAAATGGTTTTATTGCTTTTATTATCAGTTTATTAGATAATGTGAATCTTTTCATGTACGTTGTTTGTTATCACACCGAGGCTGAGGTTAGCTTACCAACAAACATTACACAGAATTTAAGGTTTCTTTTTTAGAATTGTAGTATAAGACGATACCCAATTGTTAAAGGTGATTTGGAGTATTTAAAGGTCGCCTTATACACGGAAATATACAGTATATTCTTCGTCGAAGTCGTTATTATTACCTTCTGTTCTTTTTAATCATTACCTTAATCGACGCCATCATCAAACTTGCTGTTAATTAGACATTCGTTACTTTTAGTTGCCGCTATAGTATCAGTAATATTAGCTTTTTTCTAAGCATTTTCAATGAGTTGTATTGCAATTTACCTTTGTTTGTTTTCATTGTCTACTTTATTTTCCCTGTTAAGATATTTTCCTGTCTTTCTCATATCCACGTGAATTGCTATTTTCTTTATTTTTTTTTTCCTTTTTTATGCTTCCTCTCTTTCTTCCAGTCCTATCTTGGCTCACCTTTCCTGATCGCGAACAAATTGCAGGGGAAATTGCTTGTATGCGTGCCAAACATCTGTAGCAGCTTCATAATTTCTTTACAAATGAATAATTAACACTATGTTTAGTGAAAATCGATTGAGAAAACAATAAGGTGAGTGTCACCGGGCGTCACGTGGACATGCCATTTCCGTAGCGATCTGTTGCGCCCTCTACACTTCCTGACATCTCTTTATCTTTGCTACAACGGCTGCTACGATGCGCACACAATACTTGAAAATATAAATTCCCAATTGTATTATATTTTCCTCTGAAAGTAAAATAAAACAAAAAAAATAATCAAAAGTACATCTCGTTCTTGTAGATTTAATTCTCGCTCGAGTACAGTCGACCCTTTGTAATTTTTGAAAAATTATTTATCCCAACTGTGATCTAGACGCTCCGTATGAGAAAATTGACAGCGAATTCTAGATGTGTTCTCGAAGAACATCTGAGAAGGTTTCAGAATTAATCTGAAGGAAATGTAAACAAGATATGAAATACAGCTATATCATAGACTCGGCTGTCTAGAACATGGCGTGTTACATACATCGTTACCCACCACCTAATTGTACTCAGATCTACCGTTTAGTCTCCTTAAACGTAAATCAAGTATTGATGAAGTATGTGACAAAAGGCTTCTTTATGCTCACTTTTAAGTCAAACATCATTTATTAGACTGGCATCGGTAGCGAAGCTAAGTAAATTTGGGGTTACTTATGTCAAGTTTCAATATCTGATGTCGTGGGTCAATATAGTAAACCTAGAAGCGACCCACGTATCTAATACCTTTTCATCGATCTGTCCGTTCTTATCTATCTATCTATCTATCTATCTATCTCAGTCTGTTTCTATCTATCTATCTGTCTATCTATCTATCTATCTATCTATCTATCTATCTATCTATCTATCTATCTATCTCAGTCTGTTTCTATCTATCTATCTCAGGTTTATTCTATCTAACTAGCTATCTTAGTCTGTTCCTATCTATCTATCTTTCTATCTATCGATATATCTATCTTAGTCTTTTCTTATCTATCTTAGTCTTTTCTTATCTTTCTATCTTTCTATCTATCTATCTATCTATCTATCTATCTATCTGTCTGTCTGTCTCAGTCTGTTTCTATCTATCTAGCTATCTACGTCTGTTTCTATCTATCTATCTATCTATCTATCTATCTATCTATCTATCTATCTATCTATCTTAGTCTGTTCTTATCTATCTATCTATGTATCTATCTATCTATCTCAGTCTGTTTCTATCTATCTATCTCAGGTTTATTCTATCTAACTAGCTATCTTAGTCTGTTCCTATCTATCTATCTTTCTATCTATCTATATATCTATCTTAGTCTTTTCTTATCTATCTTAGTCTTTTCTTATCTATCTTAGTCTTTTCTTATCTATCTATCTATCTATCTATCTATCTATCTATCTATCTATCTATCTATCTTAGTCTTTTCTCATCTATCTATCTATCTATCTATCTATCTATCTATCTATCTATCTTAGTCTTTTCTTATCTATCTGTCTGTCTGTCTCAGTCTGTTTCTATCTATCTATCTATCTATCTATCTAAGTCTGTTCTTATCTATCTATCTATCTATCTATCTATCTATCTATCTATCTATCTAATTCTATAAATCTTTTTACAGCCTTACCGATGTATTGTTTCTGCATGTCAGCCACCCAAAGAATGGGTAGGGTTAAGAGAGGCAGTTAGATTTGTCATCTTCCTATGTTTCTTCTTTCCTCCATTCCAAAATTTACTGAAATAATCAAATAATATTTGAACCAGAATAATGTGACTATAAAAGCAACATAAGAACAAGAAATCTCTGCGGAATGAATCACGCAAATTACTAATTTCCCAGCTCATGTCGACCCCATTAGAACAACCGTCAATTTGTTAGACGTTTCACTGCAGACAAATTGCTTTTTCAAGCTATAAGCAAAAGGAAAAACGAAGAAGGAATTTATCATAATGATATCGCGAGCACTTATAATTTAATCCATCAACATACAGAAACAATTTATTTAGCAAAATATTTACCCTTACACCAGCTATTATTCATTTCAGTTCCGAACGCAAAGTTACATTCACACATAGCAAAACCAACACTGTCTGTGCCTATTCACGTATCTAGATTTCCATTTTTACGAAGCTCCCTTGTCACTGGTTAGAGACACTTCGACGTCATGTAACGGTTAGCAATTTAGATTAATTACGACGGAGTAGTGAGATTGATCCTTAACTGAGTGCTCCATACGCTTCGTTAAGAGTACTTTGACATGGTGTAATGGTTAGCAAGCTTGTTTCGCTAGATCAGTTATAACTAAGTAGTAAGTTCAATCCTCATTAAATGCTCCACACATTTGGCATTGTGTCATATCTACACTACGCTTAGAAAATTATTTTGTGTACTTCGACGTGGTGAAACGTTCAGCAAGATTGTCTTGCTAAATCAATTACGACTGAATAGTGTGAGATCCGTAGGCGTATTGGGATGGTTAAGTACACATTCCAAAAGCTAGGCAGAGTAGAAAGGGGCATAAAGCAAGGACGTGTCTTCTCATCGGACATATTCAACCTATAGAGCGAAGCATTTCTGAGGGAATTGGAAATCCTACAGAGGACGGTAAGTGCGACACTGAGATCCGTAGACGTAGCGGGATGGCCAAAGACTCATTCCAAAAGCTGGGAAGAGTACTGCGAGATAGGCGGGTCTCTTTGGTAACAAAGAAAAGAATACTGAACAGGTACGTGCCATCTGTCCTTCTTTACGGCAGCGAATGTTTGACGATTTCCTCAAAGATGAAGAAGAGATTCGAGGTGACAGAGATGTGGTTCTACAGAAGTATGCTAAGGATATCATGGACCGAGCGTGTGAGTAACGATGAGAGGTTGAAAACAAGGTGAAGGCTTATACTTAATATCAAGAAGAGGCAGCTGAGATTTCTGGGGTACATAATGAGGAAGGAGGGCCTGGAGAATCTGATACTCACGGGTCGAATAGAGGGAAAGAGAAACAAGGGAAAACAACGCGTGACATGACTGGCGGACTTAAGCAAGTGGATGACAGAATGTGATTTGGGGAAGGAAGCAAAAGGAAGGAACAAGTTGAGAGCTGCAAGGGATAGAGGGAGGTGGAGAGCCATAATCGCCTATGTCCTGAAAGGACATGGCACATACAAAGAAAGTGAGTTCGATCCTCACTCTATGCTCCATAGTTGAGGCCTTGTGCTACATGCTAAACTAATTATATATAAAATAAATAAATAGCGTTTAATATTTTTGTTGTCAATTCTCGAGAAAAAAAAATGTATAAATCCAGTTTCATATATTTGGTTTCTATTAAAATTCTAAAATAAGCTTTTGAAAGCAATAAAAATTGCTGGGATAATATAGATGTTAATGATAATGTTTCCTTATAAGGAGACATTCGGTATTCATTAATCAAGCAGCTAATAGTACTGTCAGTTGATAATTAGGATCGAACTCATTCTTCAGTTGCAATTGATCCAGCGGGAGACGCTTACTATTGCACGATATCGAAGTGCAGAAAATATAACGATTTACTTAGTGCAGCTTAGATATGGCATATGACCAAAAGTATGGCGCACTCAGTGAGCATCTAAATCACTTATAACTGATCTTGTGAGAAATGTTTGCTAACCATTTCCCCACACCGAAGTGCCCGAGGTTGTGCATTTATAAGAATAATTTTATATTTAAACGTTTATAAAAATATCTGAACTAGCTACAACGGAATATCCTCCGGGGTATGACGATAAATTACATCCGACAGCAAGGCCTATGATCGGGAAGTTTTGAAAAGCAAGGAACCACCTCTTAATCGCTGTTGTTCCCAGGTCCACACTGACTAGGGGTGGTAGCACCTGTTAGGGTTCCAGCTATGGGGAAATATTAAACCCCTAAACTTTGTTGTCAAAACATTATGAAAATATAAAAAAAATCATTTTTATCTAAAAAATACTAGCAATACATTTTCATAGTAAAAACAATTACCAGCAATACATTTTGAAAAAAAAATCAAAGCTCCCAAGAAAATTAAATTTCGGCATTAAATGACCCATAAGGAGTTGATGTGCCGTTAAACAAACCAAACAATGCAAATGCATAAATAACTATGAAAATAAATTGGTTATTCGTAAATTTATAATAATGTTTGTGAAGTAGAGAATAATAAAATACGAATTAAAGACGAGTAAGTGTAATTGTAAATTTGAAAAAAAAAAAAATGAGAAAAAAAAGAAAGTATTTTCCGGGCATTTCTTCCATTTGTTCTCGTCACATAAAATCATTAAAATAACTTCATAGCATTTAGATTTATAAATTTTGTCTCGAGAACTGACAACAAAAATGTACGAAAAAAAAACAAAACACATCAATTGAGGACTTTCAACAATATGATAAGTTATTTATAGCCAAACTTCGAGCGAGAGTAAGTAGCAGATTATCCTTCTTTCCCTAATTGTGTCTATATAAGTAAGTTTCAAACGAGGTGTCGCGAAAACCTTGAGTGTCCCAGAGAGTAGTTAGGGACATCGGTAGTTTTTAAATTAAAAAAAAGAAAATTATAAAGAAAAAAGGAAACCTTGTATTCAAAATAAATCAAGTAAAGGCACTTGAAATCCCACCAGGAGTTGGACTAAGAAATTAATTTTTTAATCCATCTTGGTCGCTGCCATTGCCGTGTAAAAATCCTAAATCCCATATCTATTCTTAACTGAAACGTATGTTTAGCAGTTAGGATAACAATTATTATTATTCTCCTCCTCCTCCTTCTCCTCCTTCTCCTCCTCCTCCTCCTTCTCCTCCTCCTCCTTCTTCTTCTTCTTCTTTTTCTTCTTGTCCCTTCATGGCGTGGGGGAACTTTACTCTTCCCTATTTCCGGTCCTTGTCGCTCTTAGTAAATGTTGTTTCTTGCTATCTCTCCTAATCCCTGTTCTGTTAACCCTTTGCATAATCTCGTTACGTGGTGTATACGCTGTTTTACTCTGTCCTTGTTGCCTGTCCCAATGCATCCTGTGAAGGTAACATTTTCCAAGCCCTCTTTATTCATTATGTAACCTAGAAATTTCTTTCTGATGTTAAGTATAAGTGTCCTTTTAGTTTTCATTTCCTCTATCACACCGTCGTTGCCTACATGTTTAGACCGTCCCCAAAAAGGAAATTATTTCTGGCTCAACCTAATACATAATTATTCAACTAACTAGTTTAGGGGCTTACGGCTATATCACGTTGAAACATCGGTTCCCGTACGATCACCGAAATTAAGCAACGTCTAGTCTGGTCAGTACTTAGATGAGTAACCGCTTGGGAATAGTAGGTGTTTTAAGCTTTGTTGTGCGTGTGGTTTAATGTAATGTTCGGAATTGTTTATCGGAGAGCCGAGTTCCAATTCCATTTGGGTTCACTGTATTCCTCTACGAGCAAATACCCTTGCGAATGCAATTTTTCTCCCCCAGTTTTGGGTTAATTAATTAAACTTATATCACTAAGTCATTATTACCTCTCCCCCCCCGCCATATTCTTATAATCTAAATATATTTTCTGGCTTTAAATAACCTGCAAAGATTGATAAACTGTAGAAAGCAATCAATTAATCAACTAGCGTAATTTTGGAAAGGAAGACAAAGAGACTCCCAGGTTTGGACGTACTGAACTAACGAAATGTCTACAGGACTTTTTTGATACACCGAACGTTTTTGTTTAACACCATGCCTCTTCAAAATGTAGGTAATTATGATTCTCCACAATTACCTTTTGTCTCAACGTAATAAATATTCACTTTTCCGAAAGATCTGCATATCTTGCTATTCCTATGCCATCCTGTTGACGAGCGCAGAGCTCTTTTCGGCCAAAGTTTATGGACACGTTGCAGCTGCTATAAATGTACATTTAGTCTTTCATTGCGTTAAAAAAAAAACGAAATGAATAATACAGCAACGACCCCTGCATACAAACAAACTTCTTCTTTTGGGGTCGTATTTGGATTTATCCTTGTCAACCCACTGACTTTTTCGTTGGACATTTTTTCAACTTTTGTGATATATTTAACCCTTTGATTCCCGTGTTCCTGAACACTTTTAACCTTTCTGTCTGATCTCCTAATTCAAATTTTGCAAATAATTGGTATGAAATATTTCACAGTAGATATAAAAGTGTTTAGCCACCATTCAACCGGAGGCTGGACATTAAGTCATTTTCTCTATCACTGTTCAACCGGTGGCTGAGAATTACGCCATTTTTTCTCTACTACCGGTAAATCGGTGGTCAGGGCTCAAATGGTTAAAGAACGGATTATATCTCTGTTGTGAATGGAGACTTGCCACTATGGATGAACGATCCTCTTTGTTAATGTTATTGCTATGCCGAATTTATACATTTTTAACACCATGTCTCTTCAAAACGTAGGTGGTTATGACTCTCCACAGCTTCCATTTCGGTTATTATTTGTAAACTTTGAATAGTCGTGACTGTTTTAGGAAAAGTTAGTAGTTTCCTGTTGCTTTCTTCACAGTTTTGAATTCAGAATCCTCTTTCTCGTAGGCTATATACCCTACCAAAGCTAGAGAGCATAGTCTGTCCTACTGTTTTACACATACATGAGAGGAGAAGAGGTATGTTCATGTCATCTGTAAACGAATTAACGCAAAGTGAACCTTGGTTGATATTTGAATTTATCCTAGTGATTCTGTTTTTCATGGTGGTAACTGTTACGTCAGCAAGTCCATCAAAAATAAAACGTTTTAAAATACAGAGAAACCCTGAAAATAAAGAGACACCTCTTCTTGCAAGCAAGCGCCATTATTCAATGAATTATAATTAAAAAATACTTTATGATGGAAATTAATGCGGATATTTGCTATTAGCATATTTTAAATATTCACTTTTTAGTTGACATGTTTATCAGATTTGCCATATTTTCTACTGGGGTATTCAACCAGGTTTCAGCGAAAACACAAAGAAAATTGTTTTGTTTTTTTTTGTATTAGGTTTACTGAAGATATTTTTTTTATTTTATAATTCAAAATGGCCTCAAAGCGATCAAAAGATTTCATGTCGTGAAAATGACTTGGCAAGGTATCGTTTATACTCCATGGTATAAAGACACAGCAACCATGAGACAATAAAGATTTTGACCAAGAAACATTGAGAGAATATTAAGATAATTCTCTCCTATTATGAAAGGGATATGTATTTTTTTTCTCTGTACACACGCAAGATCTCCAAGTTTGTTTTGTTTTATTATCCTGAACTTACAGATGAATTCACATAATAAAATGGAAGCATGACTAAATAGGTAATTTTAAGAAAAGCCCCTTTCTCTCATTTTCTCTCTTTCTCTTTATCTCTGTCTCTCTCTCTTTCTATCTATCTATCTATCTATATATATATATATATATATATATATATATCGAGAGAGAGAGAGACAGACAGACAAAAAGACAGACAGCGAGACAGAGAGATAGATGTGTGTCTCTGTGTGTGTGCGCGTGTGTATGTATATGTCGGTAGGTTTTATAGAATACTTCAATATACAGTGATCTGACAAAAGTAGGAATCTCTATTTCCAAAAGTAAATAAACTTCTATTTTCCAACAAGTTGTTATTCAATGATCTAAATTAATACATGCACACACACGCGCGCGCACACACACACACACACACACACACACACACACACACACACACACACACACACACACATATATATATATATAACAAAGATAGTGTAAGGCCAGAAATAATGTCAGTCAGAAAGGTCTGAAAGAGAGGACACTTAAGGCAAGCAGTCTTTGTAATAAAGTGCTCGATATCAGAGAGGGCATTGATAGGATTAATAAAAATACAGGTCAATTGCTGAAACCCCCTGACGAATGGGCGGACCCATTGCTAAATAGTTCGTCTACGAAACCGTAGAGTCGAGGTGCTGAGTAAAACAATAAGCTAAGTGACAGTTAAGGTTTCTAGGACTCATAATGAGGAAAGAGGACTTGGAAAATCTGATACTTACAGGACAGATTGGAGGCAAGTGAGACAGAGGAAAACAATGCATAATATACTTGAGTAAATGAATGGCGAAACAGTATTTAGGAGAAATAACAGAAAGAAAAAATTACTATGAGTTACAAGGGATAGGAAGTTGTGGAGAGTCATGATCGGCTATACCTGGCGGAGACACAGCACATAAAAAAGAAGACAAATTTGATTTGAATTAATCTTCAATATATATATATATATATATATATATATATATATATATAGAGAGAGAGAGAGAGAGAGAGAGAGAGAGAGAGAGAGATCCACCAAAATGTATACACACTTCAGGAAAGGAAAATATTGTCTTTTGTACATTTATCAAATTGCGATAATACTGTTTACTGTATATTTTCTCGACAGATAGCATTACATTGGCTACCCTTAGACAAGAAATTGAAAATACCTGTGCAGCAATTCCACTGTACACTTGGCCCGACTTTGCTCGAGCTGTAGTTCGTCATACAAATAAATGTATGAAAGCTAAAGGCCATCATTTTGTGTATCTCTTGTGATAATAGACCTTACAGGTAACTTGTATTAATCTCGTGATGCCTGATTAACTTTAGTAAGTGTGAATACGTGTGTATACATTTTCGACCGAATTCTCTCTCTCTCTCTCACACACACACACACACACACACACACACACATATATATATATATATATATATATATATATATATATATATATATATTATTAATAGAAATCTTATAAGTATAAGAAACTATACTGGCTCGGAAAACCTTCGGTATCTTGATTTGCAAATAAACTAGCCAATACCAAAGGGGAAAAAAGGTATAAAAAAAAGAAAGAACCAAGAACATGTACGTTAACCGACAATAATCGTCCAGCATACAAGTACAAGGCCAAAAGAAAAAAACCCCGATGCGAGTACCCAAAATAACTAAATAAAGTGCTCAATAAAATGAGTAGAGCTAGTTAAACCTAGAGAGCCAGCCTTTTCTGACGATCCTCTTAGGTATATATATATATATATATATATATATATATTAATTAATATTTGGAAATATTTCATACACTCATTATAAGAATGTTACTTTTCAATGCTATAGATTTATTAAACAATATCCGAACACGTTTACCAAGGCTCGAACACCGAACATTGGCATCGGTCACCAGAGCATATTATAGTGCTAACTTCCAACTTTTAGACTGGAATTTCAAATCTGTCCGCGCCTGTTATCCCGGAGCATGAAGCATTGTGAAGTGATTCTGTGGCGATTTCTGTTGCTTCTTGGAGTGGCGCCAATAGATTAATTAACCAGCCCTTATTAATATCCACCATGGGTAAAATAATGGTCTCTCTCTCTCTCAACCAGACCTCTTCATGTCTATATACTCTAGACTGTTCATAATTCTGAGAGTCGGCGGCAAAGTAACTCCTATTCTAATTTAAATTATTGTATTTGTTAGAATACACATTTTTTACAACAAACCATGTAATATATATTAGCAAAAGGAGAAGACTTTGAATTCCTTTCTCTTTTCTTAACCATGGCATTTTAGAAATGGCTGCTCTTCTGGACTCACATAAATTGCAAAATCTGTGTCGTAAACTTTCTGGTTTTGGAAAGAAAAAAATACTTCAAATATTTCCAAGATGTTAGTAAATGTTTATGTTAAGGCTGCACTTGCTGTAAAGACAATAAGGAGATGGGTCAGAAGAGTTGATGGATAAGAGAAAAAGGAGAAATTGAGCTTTGTGACAGGTCCCACAGTGGTAGGTCAGTAGCTGTTATGAACAAAGGATAAAACAAAACAGACTGGTGTTTTTATAACGTCTGAATGATAGACTATGAAAGTTTTCAAGTGAGCTCTGGTAGTACCTGCAGTATAGTATTGTCATGTAGCTACTCAAAATGGTTTCCCAGAATGTTCCAAGAAGGTTAGCGCACGAGATCACCTGTTGTTTCAAGACATGGACAGCACCTTCCTTAGCAGCATAGTCACAAGTGATGAGATCTGGGTCCAGGGAAAAAAAAGAAGATAAACAGAGTGTCGCAACCCAGAATCATCGAGAAAGATGTTTCACGCATCCCGCTCCGCTCAGAAAGGCATTGCTATCGTACTTTTGGAAGAGTAGAGTTAGAGTTTATGCCTTAGGACACAACTATCGATTCAGACTCCTACGTGAGCACATTGTCAACACTCAAAGTAATGCTTCTTCGAGTCTGGCTATATTTGAATATTGATTTGCTTTTGCAACATAACAGTGCAAAAATTCATAGCACCTTAAAACTAATCAAGCATTCATTCTTCATTTACT